CAGCTTTTAATATCATTGAGGTGATGGCTTCAACGAAATACACAGAGAAGCGGATAGGGTTGGTTTACTACAAACTTTTAAGTTTTCTTCGCAATTTGGAGTTTTCAGTTACTTAGCTGCAGCACAATGTTTTCATGATACGACGGATGTGTTAATGTTGACGACTAATCTGATAAGAAAAGATTTGAATAGGTAAAGCACTTTTTTGTATATCATACTTTAGTAAGCTTTTGTAAGGTGGAAATATTTGTTCCTTCTAGTTCAAATATCTATGACTCTGGTGTTGCACTGGGTGGCTTATCCTGTTTCGTCACTCCCGATTTAGCGAGAGATCTTGCTAGCGATATAGTTAACCTGGTAAAATATTCTCAGCTTTTTTAGTGTTACTGTCGTTCCGCTGATTTATGTACCTTCGTCATCTTTGGATGCTTTAAGCTGTCGTCGTCCCGACCATACACGCGGAAGAGAGCTGTTTTATTACTATACAAAATCTTCCTGAAGTATCCGGAAGCTCTGCGACCTACCTTTCCAAGATTGAAAGATAAGCTTGAAGATCCGGATCCAGGTAATCTGCTCTGAATTTATATAGATTAGGAATGAAGATGTTATATTCTTACAATGTTTTTGAAATCTTATCCGTTTTAACTTTTTTTGTGTGCTAGCATTTGTGTTTAGTTTTCGGTTTCACTGTGGAGCGGAAAGAAAAAGTGCGCAAGCATTGGTTTTGTTTTAGATGGTTCCTTTTATGATGCAAAAATGCTACCTTTTTGAGAATTTTATGCCGTAGTTGAAGCATAAGAATGTGAAGAATGATTGGATAGTTCATTATTGTTTGTAAGTAAATACGTAAAGTTTCAGCATTCTATCGTGCATACTATAGGTGTTCAAAGTGCTGCTGTGAATGTTATTTGTGAGCTGGCCAGAAAGAATCCGAAGAACTATCTGACGTTAGCTCCCGTGTTCTTCAAACTAATGACAACATCAAGCAACAATTGGATGTTGATAAAAATTATCAAATTGGTGAGTTTACGGCTAACTTGCTGAACTTATCTTGATACGTTATCTTCTCAATTTCTCGTTTTATACTCTTAAAGACAGTACCAGCTTTCTAATGACAATTCAGTTTATCTGTTTAGAACAGGAAAAATGTGTTCACTATCGATTTCATTTTTATTTGACTGCCTCATGTGTTATGAGATTTGGGTCGAGAACTTTCTTAGGACCTTGTTTGCCTCGAATTCGGAATGGTTTTATCTGTTTTGTTTCCAGTTTGGAGCACTTGTGCCATTAGAGCCTCGGCTGGGTAAAAAGCTTCTAGAGCCACTCACGAATCTCATAAACAGGTTTGAGGACTATCTTCTTGATTTTCATATACTTACCTTTAAGTTTTTTTGTAGCCTAATTGTTTTTTTTATTATATTTCGTTTGTTTGATTGAAATACCCATTTTAGTACTTCGGCAATGTCCCTACTTTACGAATGCATCAATACTGTGATTGCTGGTTAGTTTAAGCACTTCCACTTTGAGTCATTTTCTAAAAATCCGGTTTTTTAAAGTTCTGATCAGCATATCGGCTGGAGGCGACCATGCCGCGAGTATACAGGTACCTCAACGTTGTTTTATATACAATATTTCATCTCTTATTTGTTAATTCTATAGCTATGCGTGCAAAAACTTGGAGTCCTGATCGAAGATTCCGATCAAAATCTCAAGTATTTGGGACTGCTTGCAATGGGTAAGATCCTGCAAACACATCCGAAAGCTGTACAGGCCCACAAAGATATTGTCCTGCGATGTCTTGACGACAAGGATGAGAGTATACGATTGAGGTTGGTGAGCATGATACAGAAATACGTTCTATATTTAGAATTCTTTCATTTTTTTTGACGCTTACCCTGAAATTGACCCTGCAGTTCAGGAATAACTGCTTAGTTTGTTTAGATCCCTCGATTTGTTATATGGCATGGTATCCAAAAAGAACATAATGGAGATTGTAAAGAAGCTTATGGAACATGTTGAGTCGGCTGAAGGATCTCACTATAGGTAGAGCAGCATGCCTTCATTCACTATCTTT